TGGGAGGGTGGGGGTGTGGAGGGGGGATCCCAGACCCTTTTTTCCCTGTCCCAGACCCCGGTACATTATTTATGAAGGAGAGAAACCTTTACAACACTCGCTCCTTTATATTCCGCGCTCCCTAAAGCGTCAGTCCGCTCTCGTATCGATTTGGGGGGATTGGGGATTTTAACATAGGTCTGAACTAGGATATATATATATACACACACACACACATACATTGTATACCATTCACTATGCACCCTGCGATGCTCACTCAAGTGAACGCATTACTGGTGCATGTTGGGCGCGCGTTTTCAATGCTTTTCCAATGCGGAGAATTACAAACCTGGATGGAGCTCCTTCCAAACATAGAAGGAAGCTGTTTCCGCGCTGCCCAATCAACTGCAGGTTGGGAATTCCCCACCCACAGCTTGACATAAGCAAAGGGGCAGGGTGCAGTGACATCATTGACCTTATATGGCTACATGTCTATATCAGGTAAGTTACATTTAGCTAATATGGCTAAATGGTCATATAAGGCAAATGTCATCAGTACAAGCATCCTGCTCCTCTGTTCATAGTCAGCTGTGGGGTGGGGTATGCTCAGCCCACAGCTGATTGGGCAGGAGGGCCATGTAACTCTTTGAAAGAGTTTAGGTTTGGTCCGAACCTGAGCTCATCCCTATTTATGACCAGTTTACTTTAAGGACAGCCATTAGTGTTCTTCTTGGTTCTTTCAGTTGGGCTTATTTAATAATGTAAATAGCAAAGTGCAGTAAGTCACAGCAACCAAATAAGATTCGTCCTTCAGTTTGGTGAAATGTTATTGATTGCTACAGGTGACCATGAGAACAGAGAATGGCAACTATACATATAAATATCCAGAGCCAAACAAAGATATTCACTTGGTTATTCAGAAAAGGGTGAAGAGTTTGGAGAAGGCCGGAGAAGTGAACAATCTAGGACAACATAACTGATTTGGAAAATGAGCTGAATTGGAGACTCTTTCCAGTTCAGCTATGTTGTCCTAGATTGTTCACTTCTCCGGCCTTCTCCAAACTCTTCACCCTTTTGCGAATAACCCTGTTAGACTTCACATAGCATTTGTCCATAATGGGAACTATTTATTTTAATATTTGCCAAAAGTTCACATTGGAATAAAACCATCGTTATACAGTATATTAACTGTGAGCATAACATTTGTAATTACTACCATGAGTACCTGTATGGATGCGAAACTGGCTCTATGATATCATATTCAGGCACAGATTCCTATGGAGCCATTTTTCATTTAAAATATACCTCCACTTTGTTGGACCTTTTTGGCTGCCCCCCTCCTCCCTCCAAGGATTACTGAATAGGACATATCACTATTATCTCGGTTCACAAACTTAATTCGTTCCGCGATTCTGGTTGCGAACCGATTTGGTCGTGGACTGAATCAAACTGTGATCAGACCGCGATCTGGACTAGAGGAAGCCATGACCACGTGTCAGAGCAGGGAAAATGGCTGCAGTTGTGTTTGTCACCCGAAGTAGAGTTCGCGAACGGAGGCAAAAGTTTGTCGAACTTCCTTGAATTGTTGCCGAACAGAGACGTTCGTGAACTGAGGTACCACTGTAGTTGGCAAACCCCCAAAATGGCCGCTGTCATACTAACAAGAAAAACAGGTGCTGTATTCTTACTTTAAAGCTTAAAAAAAAAATTGCAAATAAAAAGAAAATATGTTCAGCCTACTAGCTGTGGGCTAATAAGATATTTTCACCTAATATAATTTATCAGATAACCATGGAATAAATTAGTCTGCGCCCATAGAAGCAATTATTTTTTTATTACTATAGTAGGCATTAAATAATCAAGCTTCAACACAGCGCTAAAAGTATATATGTTACACTTCCATGTAACATCTAAGCTCCTTTCTATCCTGTAAAGAGCTCCTTTCTATCCTGTAAAGTTGGGGCTACAATAAACAGTGGGGCCCCATGTAGGATCTGCAGGTATGACTTGCCCCCTACTCTACGGTCTGGTAAGGAGTAGACCCGATCCAATTATTTTCTAAGAAAGCCCCCGAGCAAGAGTTGAAAATATTAGCCAGGTAAATGATTACACCACAGATATAATATTTTATAAACAGAGATATTTCCGTTCCACTCCAGCTGCCTCTATAAGAGTGGAATGTTGTAAAACACATCATCTTAGGTGAGCGGTCAACACAACATTACCTGAAAGTAGGTCAGATGCCACAAGAAAGATCAACCGGACAGTCAGCAGGTATGTGGCATAAAAATGGGGTCAAGTTTTTCCCTGTTTTACTCTCCCTGTTAGAGATCTACAGTATATGCTAAGATCTACCAAGAGCTGTAGATATAATCATTTTCCTCAGGAGTTCCCCAAGAGCTGAGAATTATTCATGGGTTCATCTGGGATAAAAAGGTTTTCTTAACACTTTTACCCCAGAGGAACCCATTAAATAATTTCCAGCTCTCAAGGGAACACCTGCTGAAAATGATTTTATCTACGGCTCTTGGTAGATCTTAGCTATATAGATATCTGCTATAGAGTAACAGGGAGGGTACAAGATCTACCAAGACCTGTACTAGACATAATCATTTTCAGCAGGGGTTCCCTGAGAGCTGAAAATTATTTTAAGGGTTCCTCTGGGGTAAAAGTGTTAAGAAAACCTTATTATCCCAGAGGAACCCATGAATAATGCTCAGCTCTTGGGGAACCCCTGTTGAAAATTATTATATCTACAGCTCTTGGTAGATCTTAGCATGAAGCATAAAGAATGTGGCGTACATAGAGTATACGACACCCAAGGTGGATCTTTTTTTACATCCTTCTTCTCCAACTAAATTGTTTTCAGTACTATTCATGAAATTAAAAAGGATCTGATGCAAATAATGGCCAGAAAGGAAATTAAGACACCCCCTACCCTTACTTTAGTGGCCAGCGTTGTGCTCCCTTACATAGGTGGTCAATGGAGACATTCTCTTTATACGTTGATGATCATCAGTCCAAAGAATGCCCCTTACATTGAAGGTCAGTGGGAAGGACCCATTCCTTACTTATCTGAGAGACAAGAGGAGAAGCTTCATTGATGGTGTTGGTTCTACCAAGTGACATTTCGAGGTCCTCCTGACCCACACATCTGGGCTGATTTACTAAAAGAGATGAGATTCTTTACGCATAATTAATTCTGTGACTATTCACTTCCATTATCCATTCATGTGAAAAGCAAATTCCTGAATTCTTATTCCATCAGCACATGATTGGATAATTTAAGTGATTATTCGCACAATTTATTGTTTGAGGATTCCCAACCCCTTTGGTAAATCTCTTCCTCCCGTCTATGTCCGTATTTCACGATCCACCCATGCTTCATGTTACACCCTAAAACATGGTACAAAATGTAAACTGAGCCTTTAAGATGTATGTAGAAAAGCCCCAGCATTTTATTTTGTATTTGTTCTCTTAATATGTTGAATTTTGTTTTCCCATTTCCATCAAAATGCTAACACAAAATGTAAACAATACTAATAGTGCCGCATCTGAATGTTTTCATATTATAATAATTATTATAAATATAAACTGTTTTTAAATAATCTATTGGTGTATTTATTGGTGACCTCTGGAGCTCAGTGCTGCATTATTTAGGGAAATAAGACCCTCCTCCTTTTAGCAATGGGTAGGGTCTAGCCTGGCCAATCCCCTCTTTAGATGGAGGCTCCACACTTGTCTTGTCCTTTTACATTGGAGCGTGAGTACATTTTGGTGAGGGAGAAGAGCCAGCAAGGAGCTCATCTGTCAATACTGCACATCAATGTAAGTACTCCAATACTTTGTCACTTTTATACATGGCATGGCAATCATGATCAGTTATACTTGTCATATATTACATCAGCGCAAGAACAGAGGAGTTAAATATTAGTTTACAATGTTCTATGGATTGTAAAAGTCAAAATACATCTGTAGAGATATGGAACAATCTTTATGTTGTAGTGAGTGATAGAAAATATTTCTAGTTTTAGATATTTATCTGTTCTGTCTGCACACAAAATTAAATATGATTTATTTAAAAAAATACTATTCTCTGTCATCAAGATCCCTTTATTATATTATTGATTGCTGGCATCACGTAGATATCCACTGACTGCAAATATATCAAAATAGTTCACAATCTAAACATTGATGGAATTCTGCAAACAAAGATATCCGTGTGTAATATTTTTGTAGTAATGTATAATAATAAAGGATTCATGTAAAATCATGTACCAGAAAGTAGATAGATAGATAGATAGATAGATAGATAGATAGATAGATAGATAGATAGATAGATAGATAGATAGATAGATAAATAGATAATACAGTATGCTTTTATGTATTCATATTTGGGTGGCAGGTATACTTGGTGTTACTTGCTATAATTATGTTTAATTAGAAGGAGAGGAACATGGAACGTCTTTTTTTTTTTTTTTTAGATAGATTAAAAAAAAGAAAGAGAGAGATAAAAATAGATAGATAGATAGACCCAGAAATAAAAAGAGAGAGGGATAGAAAGATAGATAGACAGACAGATATATAGATAGATCAAGAAAGAAAGATAAATAGAGACAGATAGATAGATAGATAGATAGATAGATAGATAGATAGATAGATAGATAGATAGATAGATAGATAGAGAGATAGATATACACATAGACAGAGAGAGAAAGAAAGAAAGAAAGAAAGATCCAGAAAGAACAAGAGAGAAGGATAGGAAGATAGATAGATAGATAGATAGATAGATAGATAGATAGATAGATAGATAGATAGATAGAGTATGTATTTATTTAGATTTGGGTGGTAGTTATACTTACCTGGTGTTACCTGCTATCATTATATTTAATTAGAAGGAGAGAAACTTTTTATTTAGATTTTTTTAGATAGATACATCAATCCATCTATAGATAGTTATCTTTCAATATATTTTTTCACATCGTGATTTACAACGTTAGTTATATAACTATTTTTTTATATTTTTTCACTATACACAACTACAAAATACAATAAAACCCCAAACTTGCAAGTCACGTTCATATGTCGGTATTTGGCAGTGAAATCATTTGGAAATGTCTGATACCTTTATAGGTGATATCTGTGCAGAATAAAATGCTAAACGCTTTTTGGAGCAAAGTGCCGCTGACAGAGTTGTATGTTGAGAATGATTTTACATTTCTATATTTCTATCTGTCAATCTGAAATAATGATAAAACATTGTACACAGTAATAGAGCTTTACAGTATACAATGTAAAATCTAATGGCAACCGCTGAGAATAATAGACAGGTTTGTTTGTAGACAGAGTCGATATTGCTCTGATAATGTCCAAATGCTTTTCTATGTTTAACCAGTTCAACCTCATGATCAGCCATAGAAAGAATACAACGAGTTGCAGCATTCAAGCCATTGATCAATGATTAAACCTTCAAGAACTTGCAGTAATTGTAGGAAACCTGTTTGTTGTAGGTGGGTGGAATGTGTGCAAAACATAAACCTGATTTTTATTGTTAAAAAACAAAGCGCACAATGAATGACCAAAATCTGGAAATCGTGTCTTGAAAATAACAATCCATGGACCTTTCAGTTAGAATAAGTAAGGCTCGATTCAGAAAGCTGTAACACAAGGATAAGTATCTTTATTTAACCAAATGATTGTAATTTTCATATTTCAATGCACTTAACTGAAAATAACTCTCACTTTATATATAAAATAAAATTAATATATATACACTCAGTGGCCAGATTATTATGACCTCCCCATCAGTACTTCGTTGGGCCACGAGATGACTTTGTTGGTCCGCCTCGTGACTCCACGAGATGTTGAAAGGTGATGCGAGGAATCTGACACTGCACTGTTGCCCTTCTGTTGTCTTGTACCAATCTTGCCACTCTCCGTTCTGCCCTAACATTGACTTTATACTGATCCTGGTGTGTTAGCTTTGTGATTTCTCCCTCTTATATTATAAGTAAGATTTATTTACGTCACCTTATTCCTTAAGCCATGCTTTAGTAGTCTTCCCCTACTGGAAGTATAATCAGTGTCCCCAAAAGATATGAGCCTTTGTGTTTTATGATCTTCTAGCCTCTTCTTATGGTTAGTGGAAGAGTAGATGATAAGACACGACCAAGACAGGGCCATTCAGATCTCACCCATTCCCAATATTATGTATAAGATATATTAGGCAGCAGTGAGGGGTATATGTTGTACCTCTTATGTAAGAGTTAAAGATAATTATGTAATTGATTACACCTATTTCTCTTTCACTAGTTTTTATGGAAGAGCATGACAAAATACATGTGTGTTACAAATATCAGTTGAGGGGTTCAGCATGCATCCATTAGAAAGCACAAATGAGGTATACATGTATTGATTTGAGAAGGTTCAATAGGGAAAACATGGGTTAAAGGGTGAAAACACAAGAGGGGTTACCACAACCTTTGGGTTAAAAGATCACCAAGAACATTTACATGGGGTGGAGCAGGCTTAGGGCAGACAGGTTGTGGGGCTGTGGGTCGGGAAGGGAGGAGGGAGGGGAGAGGAGGTGGGAGGGAGAGGGTTTAACCCCTTCGTGACTGACGACGCCAGCATCGGGGCTGTTTAAACAGACTCCCGGCGACTTTTGCCGCCGGGACTCTGTTTAAACTTGTAGAGCCGACTGTCGGCTTTACAACAGAAGCGATCCTGGCGACTTACCTGTCGCCAGATCGCTTCTGCGTCCCGAAGAAGGGG